GCAAAGGGTATGGGCGTGTTTCCACACAGAATTGGCCCCACCCTGGTATTTAAATTATTTTAATTTGATGCCATTTTATAGGTATTTTCGAGAAAATTCGATATACCAAATTTCAAATCCGTAGCTCATCATTTGGCCGAGATATCAGTGAAAACATGTGAAAGTGGCCCCCTTTTTCAAACTCACTTTTTGTCGGAAATATGAGAGATATCGAAAAACTGTTTACGTCATTCTATTTGTACTGATCTTGTCTATATTATTTATAATGAATAATGTTAAAAAATTGTCATTTATTGGATGAAAAGTTGAAAATAAGTTTTTATTTGAAATTTTCGACCAGTACGGTTAATTTGACTACTTTCTAAATAGCATCATTTTAAAGCCTGTATATTTTACTTTTATTATCCAAAATTATATTTAAATCGAAGTGGAACTTTTTATAAAAAGCTGAAAAAACCGAAGGTAGTACACGCAGAACCCGTAGAATATCCGTGTAAGTAGCGTCTCTCAATAGCAAACCAGTGCACATTGCGCTTGTCGCGCATCGGAACATATTCTATATAAAGGTAATACTTATTTAAAAAATAACACTAGATATATACCTTTATGTCTTTTATATTCATATATTTATGTATATGATTATTGTGGTTATATATTTATATACAATGTTTTTTTGTTTTGAAATTATACCTAAAACTTTATTTGCTTTTTATATTTTATATTTTATATTGTTACTGTATATTATTTTATAACGATAGAAATACATAAATAAATAGTCACTATATTTACCATAGTAATATGGAAGTTAAGTTACGAAATTATTAAGACACTTTTATTCGTAGTCGCTATCATTGTTAATAGAAACTGTAGTTCTTTCTGTTATAAATATTGTCTTTTATATTTATATTTTGTGTATACAAAATAACGATGCATTCTCTTCGATGCATAGAAATTTTTTCGAAAATACCTATAAAATGACATCAAAATAATTTAAATACCAGGGTGGGGCCAATTCTGTATGGAAACGCGCCCAGACCCTGTAATTACATATATTAGATTTCACGTCTGATTTGAACATGGGGACAGCATATGCGTCTTTCCAGTCAACTGGAAACACAAAGATTGAATAAGCCCCAAAGGCTTTGTTTGTTGATCGTGAGCTTTCTTTAAAGAGTCATCAGCATTTGTATTTTGCTTAAAAGATAAAGTAATATCTTTAACAGCTGTTAATAAATTCTTGGCTTCGTCTAGTCCATCCTTATTGTCAAATGGTTTTGATGCTACTAGGTTTAATGTATGAGCAAAGCATGGCATGTGTTTATTTTTGCCATAAACATTTGTGACTGCTTTATCGATATTAGTGCCATTGTCCGTGATAAATGCTACCACTTTGTCACTTGTGATGTCACATTTTTCTGTCATATTAATAATTACTTGTTCTAAGTAATCAGCATTGTCTGATTCTGTTAGAGCAGTTACACATCTGCAGCCAAAGATAGTGCTTCTACTTCTTGTATTTTTAATTTCAATTTTGCTGAAAGAGCGTTATATTTATCGTCAATCATGTAGGTAATTGTTTTTCTGGCTGAAATTTTATAAAGCGGTGCCACTACTTTCATCAAATATTCAAACCCTGTTTTTTCCACAGTATTTAGAGGCAAACCATCCTTTGCTATCATGAAGACTATCGCATTGGCTAGTTAACCACTTTTACTCTTTTAACACCATTATCTGAAAATTTTAGAAAATTATAATTTTCGATCCTGTATCTATACATCTCCCTTTCATGAAAATTTATTTAAAAAAATATTTCAGTTTCTTGTTTTACCTCGAAATGATTTTATATTTGTTAAGCAAGATGTCAATGTTAGCTGTTGACTGATACAGAGACAGAAGAAGAAGCCACGCTTTCAGTATCCGAATCATTAACAATTTGAGAATCTGAAACTGGCACGATCCCTAAAGCCATGTCATCAAAAACCTAAAATAAGAAATATATTACTTTGATTTATTAAACATTAATTCTTATTTTGTTCAAACTCAGTAGATAGGAAAACAAAGGATGTGATATAAGAAATACAGGCTCCACTCCGCTCAATTGTCCATCACCATTTCGTGCATTACCACAATTGCCACCACCACTTTCACTCTTCTTTTTGAGACTTACGGTCTGAATTGTTGGATAACGCCTTAATAAATGATTACGCAAGTTTGTTGTGTTTCCCTTAGTTTTTACTTCCTGGTGACAATATTTGCATTTGCCTGCCTCCTGAGTCTTTAATTATGAAATGATTCTAAATATACTTTTACCCGACATGCTAAAAAAATAAATTTTTTTCTCATTAAATTTGATAAACAATGAATTTGTTATAAGATAATCGGGGCCTTACTATTACTTTCTATGTAAACAAAATAAACAATTTGAGGTTATATGGATAAATGGACATAATAGTAGAAGTGTCCAATATTGATTATTCGTAATGTTCGTAATCTAAACGTAAATGAATTACATACATGGTTAGATTTAATGATAACAACTAATAGATCAAACTGAAAATAACAGCACGAAAACAAAAAAACAAAATAAAGCGCTTTACTTCGCGAAGCGCGAAGCCTGAAGAAAGTTTTATTTCAAAACAGTGCTTGTTTTATACTAATAAATGTTTCTCCTTCAAATTCTGCCCCATCATATTCATTATCGGTATTTGAGCATATCTTGATTAAACTTTGTAGACTGATAAAAATAATTTATATGCCGTATGCGGTTTGACCATTTCATATTTTGTAAGATAATATTTGCAAAATGCTTTACTTATGTAAATCTGAATAATAAAATAATACTAGAAAAACAATACTTACCTACTTAGGTTCAATTAGTTAATATTCCGCAACAAACACTACATAAAAATTAGTATTTATCTCGCTTTACGAGAATAACTCAATCAATCAACAATAAACAAATGTAATAAATACCAAAAATAAATTATGGCTGGTGGCATGACGCAACTCAGTCCAGTAACAGATACAAAGAAAGAAAAAGTCAAAGACTACAAAAGTAACTTTTTTTTATTCAAGACATGCGAAGGAATCTGAACATACAGCCATCTCGCGAGTTTTTGAATAATTAATTCTTTAACCGGCAGCACTCTTATAATACGGATACGTTCAATTGATTGTAAATAGTTTTATGGTTTATACCAAAACAAATCGAATGCCGATTTTCAAGGGTGAAATATCGATTCACCCAATCGATTCAGTACTACATATCGATTTAAAAAATCGATCTTGTTGGCTCCAAAAATCGATTCTTCGATCAATCGATTTCAGATCGTCATTCCTATGCAGGATGAGCAATCAGGGGTAAAGGGGTGAATCAGATTTTCAAAATTTAATCAAATTTTAATAACTTCCAGAAAGTAAACAAGAATAGTTTTGTTTGAAACATGAATAACTTTTAATAAGTTGTCATAACTATGTATTGTCTATTTGGAATCTAGGATACAAATCTATAAATTTGTACCCAGTATTATTAATGCATTTAAATTTGCATGTAGTAGTCTAGATTTTAATTTGTGTATATATCGTATAACTCTTACTGACAAATAAAGGTAATTAAATTTTTCTCCCAAATTGTAATTCAGAAGGTGTATAATTTGTCGATTTATGTACGGTGGCACATAAATTGTGAATAAAAATTACAAATTTAATATATTTGTATCAATTTATTTGTGTACTGTTTATATATGAACTAATATTTTGGATAAGATCCTTATGCATACGTTCACATGCACCATTAGATGGTGATGTTGCAATTCTTTTTTCTTAAGTTTAAATAAATTACTATTAAAAGTTGTTTCTAAATTTGACAAAACTTCTTTTAGTAGAATACTATATTTAAAAACAATTTCTGATACAAAAGCTTTCGCAACCATAACGCTTTCTAGATTTGGAATAGGAATTACATCTACAAATTTTGTTAGATCACAAATTAAAGTTAAGAATTATTTATTTTGATTATCTGATGGGTTCTTTAGTTTTTCTTGATATCTTATTTTTTGATAATTTGCACATTTACTTATGAAATTTCTAAATTTCTCATGTTTGGCCACTTTCACATGTTTTCACTGATATCTCGGCCAAATGATGAGAATTTGGTATTTCGAATTTTCTCGAAAATACCTATAAAATGGCATCAAAATTATTTAAATAGCAGGGTGGGGCCAATTCTGTATGGAAACACGCCCATATCCTTTGCTATTAATTAAATAAAACACCACTTATACTATATTCAATATACATATATTTATTTAACAATATTAACATTATTGTTCAAACATATAATTAAGTGCATAATATTACACTAAAAATAAATTTGGAAATATATAAAAAATATTAGGTTGTCAAATATCTCCCTTCCGCTTTTTTGCTCTTGGTTTATAATACAAAAAGGCGGAAGGGAGATATTTGACAACCTTATATATACATTCTTATAAATAATTTATCACTTTACATTCATTATTCTAATTTCAATTATTGACACATTACAAATCTAACATTAACAACAATTAATGTTTTTATAAATCTAATTTAAAACTAATTGATGTACAATATTTTTGACCAAACCCTCTTTGGCCAACACAAATAAATTTTTTGGTGATCTCACACGTGAGCATGCCACATATAATTGTCCGTGGGAAAAGCATTGATTCTCTAAATCGAGTCCGCAAACAGACATTGTTTGTCCCTGAGCCTTGTTGATTGTCATTGCAAATGCCAATCGTATTGGAAATTGTAATTTTTTGAATGGTATTGTAAAATCTGAGAGTATCATAGGAATCCGTGGCAGGAGAACCATTTCTCATTTAAACTTTCCTGTCAAAATTGTTGCTTCTATTATATTACCCTTTATCCTATTTATGACCAAACGTGTACCGTTGCACAACTTCGGCGGATTCAAATTACGGATCAGAATAATTCGTGAACCGATCTTTAACCGTAGATCAATGTGGAGGCATCTCAGGTACATCTATTGAATTTAAAAACTCCGTTGGATAGTTTACACTTTCATTATCATCCACAACTGTGTCTATCGATTTAAAAGACATGACATCGCCAGGTATTAACTGTTGTATTCTGAAATTAATGTAGTCTACGTCTATATTCTTTGCTGTTAATATCCCCCTTCCACTCAGCCAGTCATGATTCAAATAATTTATTCGTATATTCTGATAAATATTATTAATCAACTCATTTTTTTCCTGATAAATTATGCAGAAATCTTCTTTCAGTTTGATTAATTCCATATTTGTTTCCGGTCGTACTTTGCGCCATTTCCTATATCAATTAGTTGTTCTGAAAACATTTGTGCTGATGGACCTTGCTCCAATCGCACACGCATGTTTATGGTCAATTTAAGTTTTTCAACACTTCGCCACAAAAAGGATTGCTTCAAGCATGCATTGATCTCATCTGCGTAAGTTGATCGAGGTATGACAGGTAAGGTCTGTCTGAAGTCAGCTGACAAAAGTAAGAAAGCACCACCGAAAATCTGATCGCTTCCTTTCAAATCTTGGATAGTTCTATGTAATGCTTCCAAAGAATATTTATGTGCCGTTGTGCACTTATCCCAAATGATGATTGCACTGTTTTTCAATACTGCAGGTATTCCACTATTCTTTTATATATTACATGTCGCATTCTCTTTATTGTGTATATCTAATGAAAGCTTGAATGTGGAATGTGCTGTTTGTCCTCCTTCCAGCAAAGTAGCCGCAATACCAGACGATGCTACTGCCAATGCTATTTTTTGCAATCTTACTTTTGCAAGAATCAATGATATGACAAACGTTCCTCCTGGGGCGTCCAAGAAAAAGAAACCCCCCTGTTCTACAGCAACGGTCAGCATAACCCTATCGTAAATAAGCTTCTGTTCTTCTGTCAGTAACTTCTCATTGTTTTCTATAACGCTTGTCAAATTTTCTGTCATAATTTTTCTCTCTTTCTAAATCAATGTTAACAAAATCTGATAGTGGGCGATTTGGTGATTGTAAACCAAAATGATCAAGTTTCAAATTCGAAATTATAAGACACAAATCTTCCAGCAACACTAATGTTTCATTATAAATCTGCGATGTATAGTCTATATTCTGGATTCGATATATTCTTCTAAACATATGTAAAATGTCCTCCGACATATGGTTTTTATATTTTTCCTGCAAATTTTATGCGCGCGATGGGGATAGCACTTTGTTAAAATGATTGCAAATAGTTGCCGAATGTTATTTGGCGTCGAACTCAAGGAAGCATCCGCAAGAGTTAGGTCCCACTGGTTATCGTCTTCCAATAGCTGCAGCTTTCGGCATGTCTCTTTATATGTACTTGATTCTTGGCCATTTACTATTCGCAAAAATTCAAAAGATGTAGGCCCTCGAACGTTCACCATCAGCAGGCTACGCTCGCCCCAATATATCATTTTTCTTGCATAGATTAAAATATTCTGTCAATGTTGTCTTTGGTCCCTCAAGTGCCCTTTGCTGAAAATTTCGTTCTGTGAAGTACCCACGTTGTCCGTTCTCAAGATGAACTGCCAGGTGCTGGACAGAAGGGTTTCGTTCATGAATTGGAAAATTGAAATATGCCAAATAGCTTTCAATTTCAAATCAAATCAATTTCTACTGGCTCATCAAAGTTACGTAGTCTTATTGTAAAAGTGTATCCACCATTGTCTTGATTTCTGCGTCGGTACAGCGGATAACCGTCAACGTCCGTGATGGTATCATTAGTTCGAAAAACCTTATGTGTTTCGTGACAATATTTTTTTTCAATTTTTTTATTTTCAATAGCAATCAGAATACATAACTATTCTATGAGCTATTTGGCTTATGTCATTCACTCACACACATACACACACACTTGCAAACACACATATAAATTTATCGGATCAATATTACAATCATATTCAGAGAATCACTTCAATAAATGATTCAATTATTCTGTTTATATAAGGTTGTGGTAGTTCTATGGTTCCTCCATATTATCTTCGGGCAGCTTCTTCTTCAGTCTTCTTGAAGTTGATGTCTCAAGTAGCTGAGTGACTATATTGTTTGAATGATGTTGTAGTTTTTGAAAGTGTTTTATACTGTTGATTTGTATTATTTTGTTTATTATTTTTTTGTTACGTGGAAGGACCATATTCGTGACAATATCAAATAATTTTTGATCTGTTGTTTGATCAGCTGTTTCTGCTGATATTATTTGATCAATATCTTGCTGTCGGATTTTATCTTCAAGTCAAATTAAAATGGGCATGAGGCAATCCACGTTTTTGCCACTCGTGTGATACCAAAATACAGAATATTTAACAATGAAGTCAATTAATGATTTCAGCTTCTGTCTAAGCACACGCTCAGTTATTTATTTTATTTTTTTTATTTTATTTATCATATAGCCCACAGAGAAGCTCCAGGAAGACTTAAAAATACAATTATAATAATACATATTATAATAATACAAGTATACTAATATATGATATAACAGCACATAACATAATATAATTCATAACATTACAATACATAATACACAATAAAAAAACTATCAAATTCTTAACGATAAAACTAAATTATATATAATGGAAATAACCAGCTTCTAATGATTGGAAAAGCTTATCGTTAATTCCAACATGCAATAGGATATGCGACAGTAAGTTTCTAAACGTTCGAAGACTCGGCAATATAAATATTTGCCTCCAGAAATAGCAGGCCTTTGGCGACATTAAATGTCAATGAGAGAATTTTATCTTCAAATGTGAACTTTCTTCCATTCGGTTTTTTGTATGTTCTCTCAATTTGCATTTTATGACTTGCCCTTAAATTTAACGTTGCTGGAATACAAGAGAATTTTTCAGCACATTTGATGCTCTGCTGAATTTTGTTTCGTAAATTTGTATTTTGTTTATTAATTCTTCGCACCTCCTGTTTCAAAATTTTTGATGTTATACATCTTATGGGCTCCAGGTGTCAAGGCATTGCTGCGTTTTTGTTTGACACTCTGCAATAGTTTAGTTTTTAAAAATACAAGTAATAAATATTATTGTAATTTTCAAATACATATACCATTGCGAGAAACTGGTGTAAATCTAATTGATGATTTTAGAAACATCCTTTGTCGCTTAGGGGTGCTCCAATTTATTTCGAATTAAATTTATTAAAATAAAAAAGATTACTCAAAAAAAATCTCACTGTGCATAATTACCTGTGACCGGAATCTCTCTTATATGACAATAGCTCCCTTATGCCTTCCTTCATTTCATTAATTTCATATGATAATTTGGATAGAGTGTTCATGATACTATCCAACTTGTCTTCTGCGACATATATATTGAGACGAATGAATTTGTTTGTTGGAATTTAAATGATTTTTATAAATAGTTTAAATATATAAATTTTAAATAATGTACGCATCTCCATATTGGGACTCTCCTCTACTTCTCCATGTTCAATTCTACATATCACTTCTGCAATAAATATTAACATGAATGTTTTGTTGAATGATATGATATAAAGATATTAAATAATGTATCTTTCTCTATATTGGGGCTATCCTCTATTTGTTCGTTTTTCTCCTGTTCACTATCAACACAGGATGTGAACTCTGCCCTCGCTTCATATACTTTTATTAGTTTATAATTTGAAGATGTAGCTATACACCTCCCCGTAACAATTTTTACTATTTCACAGTATCAGGAAGGGGCTTATACCCCTTAATCATTTTATGAACCTTCAATGGAGAAATAGTTTGTTTTCTGGGCATTGAGAGCTCACGAACAAGGTATATGTCCACATTTATCCTCCTTATCGTAAATTACGTCATCCCATGCAGGCTGCCTGTTTGGCGCGAACAATTTCATTATTTGTCCAAAATTCAACTGAAGATGAGTGAAACAATAACTCTTATGACAAATTTTTTAATGGAAATCTTATCAAGGTAATACTTGCAATTAAAGTATTACCAGGTTGTAGTACTAGTGGTGCACCATGTAGAGAACTCAAAATCCAAATCATATCAATATAATACTAGTATTATAGAATGCAACATCAAGTTATACATCTTGAATTTAAAGAATATTCAAATATTCTTATATTCAAATTTCTTATTTCTATTTGGTAGAGTGTTGCATGCCAATCCACTACATAAAAAGCATAGATCGTGTTTTAGTAAATCTAGAAAATTGTTAGAATGTGACATTTTTTTAATCATTTTTTAAATCGTCCGAATGATATTGAGCTGTTTAGTTACGTGTGCTACTATGTTACATATAATTTTATTTGCTCATGAGTTTCTTGTTAAGCGAAAATAAATCTAAAAAAACAAACGCGCTAGTAAATCAGTATGTAATGTATTGTAAATTTGTCGGTAGTTTTCTTGATTGTGATTTTTTTCGAAATCAATCAATGTTGTGATAATAAATAATGTGTGATTTAGTCTTTGAATATGTAAAATTAGTTAAAATATATAGCAGTCATGAAGAAACTTTCTTTGTTGAATGCTAACAAAACAAATTTGGAAATAAAATAAATAATTCAGAAAAGAAAATAAAATTTATAATAAAGAAAATAATAGGAAATGTTAAGATAATAGATTATGGTAATAGGAGTATTATAAATGGAATGGAAAATTATTACGTACATGAAACAAGAGATAATGAATGAATTGAAGTAAAAGCACTGTTATTGAGGTTCAACAATAACTAACGATAATATAATAACGAAATTGCGAATCTATTGGAACCAGAACAATTAAGTATTTTTGGAAGTGAAACAAAACAGTAAGCAATATGATTAATATTTACTATAATTACTCATTTATTTCAATGTGACAGACGATATGAATATTTGAAGAGAGCATAGGTTTGCTCTTACGTAAAATAACATGAGCATATAACATGTCATGGAAGGAATTAACTTTGATTGAGACAAATGCATAACACGATTATTTAGTATATAATACACGGTATATTATATACAATTTTGATTTCGATAGTGTCAGTAATTATGATTTATTTATATTACAATTTTCTTGGTCTATTTGTTGAAAAATCACACATGACTATGAAAAAGGAAATTTGATTTATAATGATCATTGTGATGGCAATGATTTGATGGCTTTATTGTGCCAAACTATTTGAAACATCCAAATAGAAGTTAGTTCCAATCCAGCCTTTCATGTCTTTATGATTGTGAACTACTCAAAGTAGTTTTCAACCAAATAGAAGAAACCGCCCTGGATTTACATTATTAACCAAATATCAAATTTGAAGCGGATGCAAAGTATGAATACTTCATACTTCACACTTCAACATTTTTTTATTTAATTTTGGATCTATTTGGCTACTAGATAATTTTTCTTCGAAGATCAATACCAAATGTTAAATAAAATGATATCTATAATTCAGTCGCAGAAGGAATTTTGACACATTTAATAATTTTGAGATATTTAGAAAAGGTGCCATCACAATAAATAGTATCAGCTTGAAAATTCTTCATCGCCATGCATAATTAATCCGAAACATAGTTTTAATTTGTACGGATATCTTAATCATGGATCAAATGGTATAACTGACCTTAGTTTAGTCGAAGAAGGAAGTGACATCACAATAAATAATATTCGCTCAAAGGTTCAAATCAAGAGGATTGTTTTTTTAATTTGTACGCAAATCGAAACCATGTATAAAATGCTATAATCTATTGGCAAGCGAAGATATTTCACTACTTATATAAATTATGCAAGGTCGTGAAGATTGATTTGTCCAATTCAATTGTGATTGCAAAATTTTGGGACCTTCGACTGACTTAACTGTTCTCTGGTAAAAGTTCTTTCCAATCTTTACCAAATCACTTATGTATATGTATCTACTAAGTTTGTTAAATTGATATAAAAAGGAAATTGAAACATGTTATGCAGCATGGATATTATATAAAGAAAAAGTAA